CCCCTCGACGGGGCTTTCCAGCTCCACACTGTCTCCCCAGCTCCCGCCTGCTGCACCTGTCCCACCACCGGACTTCGCGCCAGGCTGCGTCCCYCCCCTCGGAGAGACATGGGTCGGTTTTTGAGGCCGCTGCAACCCGCCGGCATCTCTGTAAGATCCGCGGTGCCATGGGGCGACAGTGGTCACATGAGCTGGGGTCTACCAGCGCCTCCTTGGCATGTTTCACCCGCATGCTTATGATGCAGAGGGGATGAGGATCCTTCCCCGATATGGTGTACCCGCAGGAGGCTGGGCAAGGACAGGACTCGACGTCTTTAGCCTTGCTGCCACCCGACTTCCCCCGAGAGGAGCCAGCGGTCGCCATGTCGTCCACAATCATCTTCGACAGGTGGAGATCAAGAGAGACGCAAGGAGGATCCCGGTAGCTGTTTTTAGATTTTCTTGACGAAAATGTATTTTTCTTAATGAAAAATTTGTTTCTTGACTAAATTTTTTTTGTAGGTCCAATCGCTTGAAAAACACACATTCCAGACCAACCTTGACAGCTGAGTCTGCGAATAGTTAAATGCGTAATTCAAGTCCAGGACCGAAGTAGAAGCTCCTCTGATCTTCACGTGGAAGAAAGCGAGAATACTGTGTCGGGCAGGGGTGCTTATAAAGGGGGAGGGCGCCCCTGTGCCAAGCACGTACTGGTCTGTCAGAGACAGACGTGGTGGCATTAGAGCTTCCTGATTGGTCACGCCTGAAGGCGCTTCCCATAGTGAGACACCGAGCGAGGTTTGAAAGAGAACCAATTAATATAGATTTTAAAAAACAGTAAAATTTAAATTATGTGTTCAAATATATAGACTAATTTATTGGAACTAACCTGGAAAAATAAATATGAAAGTCAATTAAAATATAAAACAGGAGATAAAGTTCTCCTTTTTAAATTTCATTGGTGCATTTTAAGTGTATTTATTTAGTGKTTCATATAATTCTGCTTTTATTTCTAATTATGTCAGTTTTGGTCCTCCATACTGCAGAAGCCTGATAATCATCTTTTCATTCATATCAGGTGTGTTGGAGCAGAGAAACAAGTAAAACATGCAGGGCTGCAGCCCTCCAGGACCAGGATTGCCCATGCCTGCTCCAGACTCTGGGACATTTACGCTCATCAGAGAACATAACTTTGGACCACTCAGTAGCAGTTCAGTCCTTTTTGTCTTTAGCCCAGGCAACTACTTTCAAAAGCTAGAAAAGTGGTTAAGATCATCATTAGCAAGTCCCACTGTCCCCTACAAAGGACACTGAATAAAACTTGTATTTTTACAGGGTTAACAATATTGTACATTTCCTAAACTGTACAGACTTTCATACTAATGAGGAAATGTCATTTTTAGCAACATAAATAACCTTTGWAAGTAAATTTATCACTCATCTCAACCTRCTGCCATAAAATATTGATATAGGGATTTCTGCCATTTTAAAAAAGAAAGTGCATGTGCTCTGTTAGCCACACAACCACAAATGTGACATCAGTAGAAAGTCCAGGATGTCCTCTTTACAGCCGGACGAAACGCTGTCTTGTGGATTTGAAACCAGCTTGATTTATTGATAGTGAAACTGGATCATGATCAATAATAATTGGGTGAATTATATTGATTATTTCTATTGAGGGCCTTCAAAGCCTTCAAGGTCCGATTTCTTAAGCTGCTGGTGGTATGAATAATCAATTGACGTTTTATGGTCAGTTCTATTTGTTGAATTGGTAAGCAGTGAGAAAAAAGATACATCATCTGTGTTGGGACCATAGATATTGGCAAGTATGTATACCTTAGGATTTATGGAAGCATTAATAACAATAAATCTACCTCTGGATTAATTATAGTGGAACTGAAATTGACATTTTTACTTAATGGAATAGAAACTCCTCCTTTACTGATGTGAAATTCTGATCACAATGTTTCATTTTGAGGCAGCTGTGATGCTTGTGATTAAACTACAGAGATTCATTCCCTGCTGTGATACTTAGATTGTTGAGATTGACTTTTTTGATTTAACTTTTTAATTATGTTGATGTTATGTATATCTCAAGTTGTCCTGCACCTGTGTGGTTATTAAGCATGTAGCTGTGCTGCTGACAGTAGAGCTCTGTCTGTCTGGTCGTGTGAGGAAGACGTTGGTCATCTGATCTGGGCGAGAACAAGGACACGCTGCTGGAGATTTACTGTAAAGCCTCTTCACATCCCCTTAAAAGGGATTATAGTCTCTCTCTCTCTCTCTCTCTCTCTCTCTCTCTCTCTCTCTCTCTCTCTCTCTCTCTC